AGAATAATAAGAAGAATGAGAAAGAGAAGAAAGATAATGAGTAGAAAAAGTTTTTTTCTTTTTATATTAATTAGTTATAAGTTCATAATTATTAATAATTGAAATTAATTTTGAGTTTTTAAAAATTATTGTATGAGTTGTAATCAATGTCAGAAATAATATATATATATATATTTAACTATTATGATTCATAAATCACTATAATATATAAGTATCAACATTTTTTCAACATTGATATTCATAATATTAATATATTTTGAATAATATCATCTGATAATATAATTTGGTAACACTCTCTTTTATAATATTAATATATTTCAAGAAATATGACAGAGATTAATTAAGATTGTTTATTTACTTTTATACATTGATGATATTCAATCTGAGTTAGTATTAAAATTATAACTAAGCTAAGAAAGAAGATTATTTTCTCTTATAATAATTCTTCTTACACATATCAGTAATCAGTTATTATCTTTATTAAAAATAAATTATTATCTTTTTTAAATCTTTATTATATCTTCTGAATTCACTTCTTTCACTTCTTTCACTTCTATTGAAGATTCATAAACTCTTCAAGAAATCACTGTAAATCACAAAGTCTATATTATTTATAATTTAATACAGAATACTCTCTTTCAATTATGATAAATAATCACTTCATTCTTCACATCTGATTTCAGGTTGTAAGGGGCCTACGCTGAATAGATCAGTATGATATTAATAGGTCTTATATAACAAAGAGAAAAATGTTAGAGAAGGAAAAGAAAGAGAAAGTGCAAGAATCAGTAATTGAAGTGAATATTTATACATGTATATGATGATATATGCAGTGAAGCTTTGAAGTGAAAGAATCTATATATGTTCATGACAGCTGAGGATCAGTGATTGAGAATGACTGAGAATCAGAGCATATATGTTTAAGAATGAAACAGTATGTGTTTGAGAATGAAGCAGTATGAATCTGTGAAGTGTAATGAAATAGTCTACATGATTGATCAGGCGCAGCTCACTACATTAGCTCCTTCTTTCCAGAAGCAGTTCTCATCAGTCAAGAGCCTCTGTTTCAGATAATGCGGAACTCAGGGTCCAGGTCAGGTGATCATACCTGACTCATTTCACAAGATATTGTCAGCTGCGGCCGCAGGGTCTCTCATCAAGAATATTCTCAATCTCTCACTCAAGCTCATTATCCTCTTCTGTGATGCCTGGCGGCTGTCAGTCAGAAGTCAGTTGAGAAGAGAACAGGTCAGTGACAGCACAGCAGAGCAAGCTTGTGTGAAAGACATTATGAATTTCTGATAATGTGTTAAGATGATAGTTGTAGCTATCTAGAACTTCTATCACTTCATACTTGATATATCAGTAATTCAGTGTATGAGATGAATGTGTTATCTGTATATTCTTAAGATTCAATCATATCAGATCTTCTATCTTATATTGTTCAGCAGAGTCTCAGTGAATATTAATTTAATCTTCTTAATTCTGTTTAGTGCTTGTCATGAAGGCCTCTGCTCAATCACAGATATCTCAGAGTTTTATTACTATATTATCAGTGATCTGAATCAGACTGTGAAGGTTCAGTGTGAAATGTGTGATTTCTAGAAGATTCAGTACTTTCATGTAATATTCATGTGTGAGAAAGAACAGGCTTATATCTGTTGAAACAGCATCTCAATCATTGATAGTGATCTCTGCATGTAGAAGAAGATCATATCAATTGTCTTATAAGTGATTACAGAACTTATGAAAATAATTCTTCATAGTTTGAATTGTCTGTTCTGACATATCATCAGTCTTGAGATGATAGGCAGTTAACAGACAGTATGTAATCTTGAGAACTTGACAGATTCTTGTTCAGAGAGTGCTCATAAATTGACAGCTCTGATCTGATACTATAGATCTCAGCAATTCATACATCTAATAGAATGAACTCTGTAGAAAAGCTTCAGTGACTTGTTCAGTATTCATTTTATCACAAGATTTCAATATTACATCTTTGCTCAATCAATCTATAATGATCAGGATGTTTCTATAACTCTTACTCTCAGAAAGATCAACAGTGAAGTCAATTATCATATCTCATCAGATTCTATCAGAGATATTAAGTGATTTCAGCAGATCTTTTCTACAGTTCTTTCATGAGATGATGAAAGAACAATAGTTGCAGTTTCAGATGAAGTGTCTGATGCTGTTTAATATCTCAGATCAGTAGAATTCTCAGAAGATCATTCTATACAGTTGTTCACAGCCTGAATAATCAGTTATACATGAATCATATATCTCTTGCATTATTTGAGTGTATAAGAGTTCAGAGTGAGAGACCCAGCATTATTTGTAGAATTGTAGAGTGTAATTATCATTGATTGAATATTCTGAGATGTCAGTTCTTATACATAGTTCTGGAGAGAATCAGAGTGCTTCTTGATATACTGCTTCAGTGAGTGCTTGAAGAAGTTCATCAGTTTGAGCTGTTACATGTCATAATTCATCTAGTGTAGGTTCAGAAGAAGTTAAGATATCAGTGTCAGTGTCAGTGTCAGTTCAGAGAGAAAGTATTCTAATCAAAGAAGTATGTATAGTGTCATGAGTTGTTTCATCTTGATCAACTAATATCTTCAGATCTAGAAGCTGATGTTCTCAGTTCATTCAATGACTGTCTGTTATATCAGAAGGCATATCTTACTCTCATTATGAGAGAGCATCTGTTATCAAGTTCTGACTGTCAGAATGATAGTGTATTATAAAATGAAAGCAGCTTAAGAACTCAGATTATCATATCTATTATTCAGTGAGTTTACAGATAGTTATGAAGTATTTGAGGTTCTTATAATCTATGATTATCTCAAATTCAGAGACACTTCAGAGTTCAGAGTCTCACTCTTTTAAACAGTATATAATCATGAGAAGTTCTCTGTTATAGATCTTATAATTGCATTCAGCAGGACTCAGTTTCTTAGATATAAAGACACATAATTGTAGAACATCTTTATCATTATATTGTAATATCACTTCTTCTGTCATATAGTCAGAGAAATCAGCCTCAACAACTGTCTCATAATCAGAATCAAATGTTATCAGTAGAGAGGTATTAATAAATATCTCCTTTATCTGTATAAATGCAGCTTCAGTATCTGCTAATTATTGAGATACTGAGTCTTTCTTAGTGAGATCTGTAAGTGATCTTATGATATCTGAGAAATTTTATATAAATCACTGATAGAAGTTAGTAAATTCAATAAAGCTTTATACATCTTTCACAGTATGTGAAGCTTCTCATTCAAGAATGACAGAGATCTTCTCAGAATTCATTTGAATTTTCTTATCAGCTTCTATAATGAAATCTAAGTATTTAGTACTCTTAACTTCAAAATCACACTTATTAATATCAATTGATAGTTCAGCTTCTCATAGTCATTGTAATACTCTTTATACATACTCTTGATACTCTTTTCTGAATTTATTAATGAAGATGAGAATGTCATCTAGATAAGTAGATACAAACTTATTAAGAAAATCTCAGAGTGCTCAGTTGATATACTTCTGAAATATACTAAAGACATTAGTCAGTTCAAAGAATGTAACTATTTATTCAAAGAGATTATAACATATTTAAAATACTGTAAGTCATTCATCTTCTTCAGTGATATGAATCTTATGAAACACAGTGATGATATCTAACTTTGTAAATCATTGAGCTCATCTGATTCATGCTAGAGTTTTATTGATAAGAGATAAGAGATATTAATCTTTCTTTGTCAATCTGTTCAGACCTCAGTAGTTCACACAGAATCAGAGTTCTTTATCTGACTTCTTTGCAAAGAGAATAGAAGCTGCAGTGAAAGAGTTACTAATATGTATGAATTTCTTATCTAACAGATCATTGAGTGTCTTTCAAAGAAGAAGAAGTTCATCTTAAGACATATTATAAAAAAGATCTTATCATGACTTGAGATTCTTATCATTCTTCTTTTCTAACTTGATACTGTGATTCACTTCTGAGTCTTGTAAAGAAGATATATTCATAATATTATCTTATCAGAAGATATCTAGATATTCATGATATTATTGAGAGAGTTTTATGTGAGAATCTGTTATTATAGTACAGAATAACTTTTCTAGAGCTTTCTTGATATTGATCAGACTGATGAAATAGATTGATACATGATTCTGCTATCAGTGACTTTGTCAGTGACTCTGTTAGCAGTTTTAATGACTTCTTTTTCAGAGCATTTCATAAGTGTTGACAGAGATCTGTGTCAGGTTCATAGTCTTATGAATATCATCTTTATGAATTCTATCATTATTAGAGAATATTAAACTCCTGTTTCAAGTGTTCAATAAGATGTCTTATTCAGATAGTCAGACAAGTTCTAATATCAGATTATAATCAAGATTATCAACTTTATATACATAGATATTTTCACACTGATATTCTCTGATATCTATATTTAGTTTCATCATGTAACAGATGTAAACATCTTTTAAATCATCAAATTCTGTGAGAAGTCAGAGTTTTGATAAGAGAATACACTGAAGATTATAATATCTTACAACTAAAGATTTTATTATTGTATAGTAATATAGACTGCTGTCTATCATGGCTTTCATATTATATATATTATCATTCACAGTAGATATAAGAATCACATTCATTGTTATTTTCTCTTCAAATCATTGTTATCTGACCTCTTCAAGCTTCTGTTTATGAATTTGAACAGAAGCTAATCTTTTCTCTGTTTTATCAGAGCATCTTTATAGTTATCTTTCAAATCTTTCTCTAATATAATGTAATTGACACAGACAGACATTGATTCATTCTTTAAGTGAGAAGGTATGTAGGCTGATCAGCAGTTGAAAGCAATGTGTTCTGATTAGTTACAGTTGATGCACACTTTACATTGATGTCAATCAGTGACTTCTTCAGAAGTGATCTCAGAGACTCAGAGACCTGTTTGAATAGTGAAAACTCTTGCTTGTGTATAGACATTTGAATCTATTCAGTTCATGACATCTGCATCATTGCTGTTCTTCAGCACAGGTGTATAAGTCACTGAAGTGTAACATCTTCTATCACTGTTCTGTATACTCTTGAGCTTGATAAGATGATCATTCAATGTCCGGAGCTGTGTGTAGAAGTCTTTATAAGTCTGGTCTTCATCTACACTTACCAGAGTCTGTAAGAGTTTGAAAGTCAATATCTTCTTGAGCATACTAATCTTCATTTCATTCTCTCAAGATTGATCATCTGCTTCTAGAATCTTGATGTTGAAGTCAGGAATGAATGTTGTAAGAAAAGTGTTTCTCTGTCAGACACTCTATAATTAATCTAATGCTTTCTGTTGCATGGCAGTGTCTTAGAACAGGATATCAAGATATCTGATGATATTATCAGACATTCACAATGCTAGTTCATATGCTTTCATTCATGAATGAAACTTCTGTTTCACATGATCTTTCAATTGTTCATTGATATACTAATCTTGATTGATTAATAAACCGATGATATCTTCATCTACACTCAGTTTCACAAGCATTTTCATTCTTCATGATGAGTAGAGAGTGAGATCAGAAGCATTGAAATATACAGAAGCATCTAAGCATTTCTTCAGTGCTTTTATATTCAATTCTGTAGGTGTTGAAATCACATGAATTAATTGTTGAATCTCTTCATATTGAAGTTGTTGAGTTGCATGTATATCAGCTATTTATTGTTATTGTAATTTCAACATTGCTCAGAGCCATTGTGGCATCACATCTATGCTCACATTCAAGAGTTCTATATTATCATTAGACATGATTATATTGATCATTGAATGTGTAATTGTATGAATATCTTATATATCTGAGGGTCAGAACTCTCAGATCTTTTACTGATATTCTCTTTGTAAGATTTTGTTACAGAATCAGAACAACTGATAAGCAAGCTTCTATCTGAGAACTCAGTGTTCACTTTAACTGATTGTTTCTCTTTTCTTATACATCATTACACATTCAGATATCTCTCAATGAATAATCATTTCTAATGAGAAGACAATGTGTGAATAATTGTTTTCTAATAAGAAGATGATGAATGTTTTTCTAGTGTAAGAGATCTACACTGAATAGATCAGTATGATATTGATAGATCTTATATAATAAAGAGAAAAACATTACGGAAGAAAAAGAAAGAGAAAGTGCAAGAATCAGTAATCAAAGTGAATATTTATACATGTATGTGATAGTGTATGCAGTGGAGCTTTGAAGCAGAAGAATCTATACATGTTCATGGCAGCTGAGGATCAGTGATCAAGAATGGCTGAGAATCGGGGTGTATGCATTCAAGAATGAAGTGATATGTGTTCGAGAATGGAGCAGTATGAATCTGTGAAGTGTAATGAAATAGTCTATATGATTGATCGGGCGCAGCCCGCCACACAGGTTATGAAATTTATAAAAAACTTAATATAAATATTGAGATAAACTATGAAATAATTATCAATAGATTGTATTATAGATTAATGAAGAGATATCTCTCTACTGTAATTACTGCAACTTCATTCAGAAACATTCATTATAAACTGATTATAACTCTGATGAAATTTCTCAACATCTGAAGTCATCAGAATGCAGATAATAAAAGAAAAATAATCAGAAAATTACTACTGAGCTGATAAGTTACTCTATCAGATAACAATTTTTAATAACACTAACTTTCTAATTTGAAGAAAATTATGTGAAAATGATCATATATCAGTACTCTGATTTCTTAACTCTCATCTAATAACTTCTATGAATAATTACTTTGTATATATATATCTCTGAATCTTTCTCTTTAAACAATTGAAAACCCTGAATTCTGAACACTTCTTCAAATACTTAATTCAAATCTTTATATTTCATATCAATCATGTCTTCAGTTCAATCTTGAGATACATTACAAAGTCATTATAGAATATCTAGAATCAGAGTTGAAGAATCATTGAAGAGTGTCTCTCACAGTGAATATATAAACTAGAATAAACAATCTTACATTTATAAAAGTTACATGTTATTATATTGATGAGAACTGAACTTATTAAGAGACATTAATTAAATTTGAATCATTGATCAGTAGTTATACTGAGGATTATAGAGTAGAGATATTAATAACAGTGATGAAAAACAACTATTAAGATATTAGTCTCAGTCTTCTTATAATTATAACTGATAATGCTGTAAATAACTACACTATGATAAAGAGCTTAGAGTAAAAATTGACTTTGCATTTCTGAAATGATAAATAAAGTCATATTCTCTATATTGTTTATATAGTTCAACTTGTGATATAAACACTGATAAAGAATCTTAATATCAAGATAAAGAATAATAAGATGACTGATTCTTGAAATGAGAATGAGATGAAAGTGATTACTTAAGTAACTTTTACATTCACTTTATAAAAGATAATATTTTTTAATAACACTTTTTAATATTACTTTTTAATAATGCTTTTTGATAACACTACTGTTAATTTTGAATAGATTGACTAATAATTTAAATATCACAGATTTGAAACATTGCTAATATGATTTATATCTTCTCTAAATAATAACAATGATTTCATGATATTCAATAAATAAACAAATCAGTCATATCACTGAATATGATACAGAATATTAGAATATAATGAAGTTCAATATATAAGATGACTGTTCAGACTCTTTGATTGTGTCAGATAATTGATCATTGAGTATAACACTCTGATTAGAAAAAGATTCAGATATTGAAACTTTCTGATATAAAGTGAACTCAGTTGAAATATGTGATTGATTTACTGTTTCAGTTTTATAAGATAATGAAGACAGTCTTAATCACTTATATATCAGTACTGCAGTCAGTCTGATGAATGTATAACAGTTTATTTACTTATCTTGAGAAGCAGTTAAATCACTTAAAAAGAAATTCAGTCTGAGATAATGCTATAGCACAGGCTATTATTACTGTAAGAGATAAACTGACATATTATTACAGCAAAACTGAACAATCTTTTACAGAGTACTATACTATTGCAGCTCTACTAGATCTCTCTCATTGAGTTAATATCTACACTTCTCAAGATCAAACAGAGAAGAAATGAGACTTGTATATTAAATTAGTCTGAGACTACTATAATACTAACTATCAGAGATTTGAATGAGCACATGTTAGAGATGTGAAGACAGTGAAATACAATTCTTTAGTAAATAATGATCTTTGATAATACTTCATATCACATAGAACTATAATACTAACTTTGAAACAGAACTTACATACATTAATTACAACTGAAAATCAGGCAAAACTACATACTTATAAAACAGAATTTGATCACTATCTTCAAGATAATCTGATAAATTTACACATTAAATCAATTCTAGAGCTATGAAAAATTGTTGAGAGTACATATTCAACTATTGCACTGATAACATGTAATATTCTGACAATTTCATTGACAGAGATGAGAATGAAGTGAAAGTTTAACTCAAGCTGAGATATTTATCACTATCACTGAGAACAATTACAAGGAGAAACAATCAAGAAACTCATGATTATAAAACATAGAATTATCAGACAGTTTAATATCTCTGATCACAGTATATCAGAGAAGTGTAGTTTTCATGAGAAAGTAGAGAATAAACTTGTATAAAAATGTATTTAGTTATTTCATGAGCATTACTAATAATTGTTACCAAATTCTGATTATATAAGCAATCACTGAATGAACTGAATAAGACTGAATTTGATCTTCAGTCTCAGTTTCATTCTGATTTTAAAAGAATAATCATCTTTCACAGTTTATTCTGAGAAATTACTCTCATTTCACTGCTCTTGCATTAAATCTGGTCATTTTTCACATCATTTCTCTCAGAAATGGTTCATTTTCAGATTTTTTTAATGCTTGATCCTGGTGAGACTCATGTCAAGAAATGTATGAGATCAGATCAAATGAGATCAAATGTGAAATTCATGGTTCTGCCGGCCAGTCTAATTGAGATGTTCACTATCATCAGCAGATGCAGATCTGTCAACACATGAAGATTCTATGTAAATAAATATAAACATCAGCATCTGCATTCATGCAAAATTGTGTCAGAAAACACAATCAGAAGCTCACTGAGAAGAAAAACAGTCAAGAATGTATAAGAAGATGAAGAAGATGTGTTATTTATAATAATACATTCTGATAATTGTTAGAAGAAAACAAGTCCTGATTATATTCTATAATACATTACACTTACTGCTAATGAACTGTCTGATATAGGCACTACAATGACACTTGTTGTGAGAACAGAGAGTCATCGCCAGAAATATGTATAATGTGATAGATAAATGAATAGAAGATGTTAAACAGGAGAAGAGGCAGGAATCTTGAAGAAGATAATAATGTTTGATGATAATAATAATAGAGAAGATGATTGAAGAATGAGAAAAGTTAGTGAATGAGTGATGTAATATAGTGAAAGTTTCTTTGTGAGAATGTACACAGAATACAAGCTGAATCAGAGATAAATCACACAATTGTGAACACTAGTGACACACTAATCTGCATGAAGCTAGAGTGTATATCATGATCACATAAGTGTGACTGAATCTGATAAGGGAGAATATGATTCAGAAGAATATACAACTGTCAGATAATAACACAGCCGCTTCTGAACTTGCTTACAATGTAAAGGAGTCATAGCGGCCACCAATTAATTTAGTGTACAGTATATAAGAAGCCGGTGTATACCTGTAATCGTACGCTGGCTCAAGCAATCTTTGAATCACAAGTAAGTGAGTCAATTGTCACAGAAAATACTGTAATTAAGTATATCTTAACAGAGAACAGATAATCAGACCTCTATAATACAGACTACACATCTGAATGCAATGAATCTAGATTTGAATGCTATCACTAAAGTATTAAATTCTCTGAAAAAGAAATCCTCTGTGTGAAAATCTTGATATTATGAGCATCAAGCTTGCTTTAACTGTAAATGTCAAAATCATAATGTAAAAGATTGCACACAGTATGCAGAGTCAAGAGAAGTAAGAGAGTTAAAAAACTAGCAAAATCAGTGAGCTCAGAGACACTTGCTGATATTCTATGAAAAGTCTTCAAAGTGAAAGAGATACTCATATTAGATGACACTCTGAATTCTGCAAATATCAAGAGAAAGCAGGCTTCTGAATACGATGTGAGTGAGAATGAAGAAGCAGATGCTCACCTCAATGTCTTAAG